GGGGGGGCATGTGGATCTTGCTCAGGGCCCAGTGGTGCTGCTAGAAGCCCCGTGTGTCGGAGGGGAAAACAGGTGAGCGGCCCGGCTGGAAGATCGGTGGAGCATCATGCCGGTGGAGACGCTCCAGGCCAGCCACAGAATGAAAAGCGTCTCGGCCACGACCGCGCCGTTCACTTCGGCCATGCCCTTCCGGATCCTGAACAAGGGGCCGGAGTACTTCCGACGGCAAGCGGCCGGCGCGGCTGCCAAGAAGCCGAGCGCGGTGGAGAGGCTGGAGGCGGATAAAGCCAAATATGTCAAGAGCCAGCAAGTGGCCACCACCAAGCAAGAGCCGGTGAGGCCTCTGTTCCTTAAGCAGCCCCTCTTCACCCCTGGAGTCAGGAGGGTGATGCTCACCCCGAGCCGGAAAACCCCGCAGGGGGGGCGCCGAGCCGAGGTCTGCGGGGCCAAGACCTCTCTGAATTTGGAGATCCTTAATAACCTGATCAACTTTTGCGACAGCCCTCTTTCTTTCCCGAAAGGCGAGAAGAGCCCAGCGGAGCACCCGTGGGTGTCCGACGCTCACGGCCGAAGCCCGGGGGGGCTGGCGTCCACCCCACGGAAGAAGAAAGGGGACCTGTCCGAAGGCATGAGTAAGTTGTCCCAAAGCTCTGCCTCTTCCAAGCCGCCCAGCACCGTCGCTGTGCGCCGAGTGGACGTCCGGCCGTGCGGGGTGCTGAAGGCGAGAGTCACCCCCAGCATCCAGCTGACCCCGGTGCCCACCTCCCCCGGCCACACCCGGATCCTCTCCGCCAGCCCCTTGAACTCCCCGAGCCCCTGCAGCGAGCTGAGGACAGAGAGCGCCAAGCGCCAGACCTTCCTGCACCGCTCCAAATCCGACCTCAGCGACCGGTATTCTCGGGCCACGGCCGATCTGGAGCGTTTCTTCAACTACTGCGGCCTGGACCCCGAAGACGTAGGGGACATGGAGGTGGAGCGGTTCACCCGAGCCAGCTCGGACATCGTCTCCATCAAGTTCCATAGCGTCAGCACGGCCAGCTCGGAGGGGACCCGGTCTCGGCGCAGCGCCGTCACCCTGGAGGAGAGGCAAGCCGAGCGCATGCCTTATGGCATCTCCATCGTGGAGCGTAATGCCCGGGTCATCAAGTGGCTGTATGGGCTACGGCAAGCCAGAGAGTCTCAGAGGGTGTCCAACGTATAGCAACGCCGCTGTGGTGGGCAGTGGCAGAGAGGGAAGCAAAAAAGGAAGAAAGGAGGACATTTTCTGGTGGTTTCTATGTACGTTTTGCTATTTCCAGTTGGAGGAGAAGGTTGGAAGCTGTTGCATGGTGTGTGTTTTTGTATGTGCCCCTTTGAGAACCATCCTGTGTTTTTTTTTTCTTCCTGGTGGGAGACTAATTCTGATGACCCGTCTTCAGCCTTAAATCCATGGGGTTCCTCCCGTAATTTAGGTCAAAGATCCGCTTGCAGAAAAGAAGAGTACGTAGCCGCCTTCTTGTCTAAGACAACTGCAGGGTGCAAACGGGTCCACAGGTAATTCCCTCCTCCTCTTTCCTGGAAGGGTTGGTCTAAAACAGCATCCCCCCATTTTGGAACTCTCTAGGTATGGCGGGCGACGACTCCTCCGATGGAGAGGGTCGGAGTTTTAAACCCAGCCTATCCGGCAGGTGCCAGCTTGGGAGATTCTCCTCTAGAGTAAGCGGGATCCGACCCCAATCGATAGGCCCCCATAGTAGGGCACTGTTTAGCTGGTTCAAGGGATGATGGTGCAAACCTGTGAGAGTATTCCCAAGCCGACATGAGGGTGGAAAAACTCGAGGAACACCCGAGCTTTATTGCTGGCAACCGTCAGATTTCCAAAGCAATTCAGCTGTTGGCCGGAAGCTTCTGCCCTTGGCAGCTGAATCACTCTCTGCGTGCACGCTACCTCCTGTGAACCACAGTGCAGGGGGAAGCGTTGGCAGAAGCCAGCCCTGAGGTTGGTAACAAAGGGAGTCGGATGGCAGAGAGCCATACAAATCCTGGGTCTATTGTGAGGCGGGCAAAGAATGCGTCCAGCTTTTGTGCAGCTGGGAAACACCTCCGTGGTTTGATTCCTAGAGAATCGTGAAGCACCGAGGTGCCGTTTTGGTCTCCCAGACAGGTTTTTATTATTATTACAGTATTTTCCCGTAGCAGAAGCAAACCTGGGGAGGGCAGAAGGATCTGGCCCCAAACTGTCAAATGCTGAGTGCCAAGTATGGCAGAAGGGAAAAGGCTGGGGTTTGGGAATTTTTCCTTTTTGTTTTGTTTGTTTTGCAAGCAGGTTTTCTCTCGTGTTGTGCTTATTGGCCATCTTTTGTGGGGGAATTTTTCCCAGCCTTCCAGGGTGGATGAGGTCCCCTCCCCACCCCAGACTGGAAACCACCTTGTCTGCCGGCGCTTGCGGGTTCCCGGCATATTGCACAAGGTCGGTCTCCCCGTTTGGGCTCCTTTGTTTTCAGCGCTTACCACGTGAGCCCTGAATTGGTGGGGCGTGTCGTGGAGAGAACAAGCGTTTGTGGGCAAACAAGGTTTGTAAAAGTATTTGCAACTCCTTCACTACCCCACGCCTTTGTTGGCCCCTGTCTTGCTAAAACTTTGGTGGTGGTTATTCAGGGCTTTTGGGGTGGGGTGGGGGGGGAAGCCCTGTTTTTTTGGATCTCAAGTCCCAGAATTCTATAGTCAGTAAATCCAAAAACCAACTTTCTCAAGATCTGGTTTCATATATTTAAAAAACAAACAAAACCCAATGACAGCAACGGGGAGGCAGATGTGAAGGCAGTGGTTGATTCAAATGAAAACAGCCACACCCCTGTATTATTTAGGGAAATCAAAGTTGCTCGGAGGCTGGCCTTAGTCCCTAATAGTTCTCATGGAAGTAAGGTCTTGCCCTCCAGGCTGCAAAGGAGAGATGGGGTGTCATGATGCCACCCCCCGCCTCATTTTGAAGTCACACCCCTGATTAAAAAGACACACCTGCCTTACCTGCTCTTTGGATTCTTCTCCAAGGTTCAGAGTCTTCCTCCGTCTCCCTTTCTTCCCTTGACTTCTTTATGCCACCTTGGATGATCTTGAGGTTAGCAGGCAGTTTTTCCCCTTCCGGAGAGTTGCAAGGGCTTGGCGGAGGGGGAGAAACTGCACCTGGAAGCTGGTAGAGTCTCGAGTTTTGCTCTCAGTATCTCCTTCGGCAATGGGCTGTCCTGTCAAAAGGGAAGGAAGCACAGCAGGCCTGTTTCCAGCAATCATCCCCTCTTGGTTGGAAGGAGAAGGGAAGGCTGGAGGGAAACTGGGGAGACGTGGCAGGCAAAACAGGTGCCATTTGTTGACCAAGGTTCAGTTTAGAAGGTCCCCAGTGGTGGTAAATTTGTATAGGTTTGGGATAGCCGGACAGAATTTTACTTAGGTGTTTAGCCATGCAGGCATCCTTTTATCTCTCTGGGGCAACTGAAAGATACTTTAGGTGTTTAGCCATGCAGGCATCCTTTTATATCTCTGGGGCAACTCAAAGACACTTTCTATGTGGTGTGTGTGTGCGTGTGTGAGGTGCACCTTTGTGGTCCAAAGCTCTCTTTGAAATGTCTGTTGCATTGAAAAAGGTCTAACTCTATTTATAATGTTTCTTCATATTTGTTCTTTCCAAATTTGTATGTTGTTATATGCTGGCCGTTGTCTAGCCGAGCAGCTGGAGGGAGTGGGGCAAGCTGACCCATTGACATATTTGTATTAAAGTTTTGTTCTTTCAAGAATCCTCTCTGCTGCTCGCACGGTCTTCTTTTGGAGCGGATAAAAACTCACGTGCACGCTTGCAACCTCAGCAGGGAAGCGATGCTGGAAGGAACTGGTGGTGGAAGGAAGGAAGGATGCTTTCACATTTAAAAATAAACTTCCTTTGCAGAAGGCGGATGGATGGTGGGGATGCTGCAGGCAGCCTGCCTAGCTGGGATTGAAAAGTGGTAAATAAAGGGCATGAATCAATAAGGTGGGGAAAAATGGAATTTGCATCCCTATCTCTGTTCTGGTTGAACTGAAAAATCCAGACTACTTCTTGGTGTTGCTGGCAGGTTCTGGTCCATGCTATGGAGGGCTCAGAGGATCAAAACCCCAAGACCTTTGCAACAGCAGGGACTCTGATATCACTGACCCCCCCCAAGGTTTCCTTGTTCCTTCTGAGCATAAGGGCTATCCTATTACTACTAGGAGAGAAATGGATTTGTTCAGCCACAATCTCCGGTAACATGAAAGGTTTGGTCTTGGAATGCGCAAATAAGAGCCATTGCATTGACAAAAGACCCGTCCAGCCGGCTGCGTTTTGGATCCTCCTGGGGGCAGAGTAGGAGACACAGCCGGCTGTCGGCTCCCTTAAAAGTTACCTAACCAAGGCAAGGTGCCAAAAGGAAATAAGGAGCCTTATTGAGCCCCTGGCAGCAACATGAGAAAAATACGGCTGGCGCAAGCCACTCGCACGTGTAGGAACACAATTGTAAGGATGTGACCTGGCAGGAAGCGTCGAGGTTGCCCCCTAGCCACTCTGCGTCTGCTTTTGGCCTCACATCCTCCTGACCCGTTCACTCGGGGTCTATCCTGCTAAGCTGCGTCTTGCTGCTCCCTTTACGGCAATGTTGGCCTTATCATTTTTCCCCGTTTCGTGGATTTCCTGAGATAAAAGGTAGAAACAATGAAACTAGGGCCAGGCAGCACCTTCAAAGCATCATGGGGCAGAGCAGATCTTGGGAGGGTTTTTGTTTGGACCACAATTCCCAGAATCCACCAGCCAGCTATGGGAACTATCATCCACATAAGGAACTGTCATCAGACTTAATTATCTCTTGATCCAGGAGGAAGTGATAGAAATAAATCCCCAAAATGGGGTGGGTGTAGATGAAGAGCAACAGAGCCAGGAGAGATTTCTGTTCCGGAAGCCAGACTTTTTTTTTGGAAATCGGAATCTGCCTCGGATCTTCCCCTGTCGGGGAATCTCTTAAGTGCACATTAAACTGCAAAGCCCTTGGTCTAATCCAGGCTGTGCCAGCCTGATGGTGTGTTTGTGTCTCTGCATTTCCAATTTAGCCGTGATCTTTTGTCAGACACTTGCTTTTCAGAAACAGTGGAAAGAAATTCTCTGGGATGCTGAGCGGTGCGTGGCCCAGCAAAAGATCTTTCTGGGCTTGGAAGGAAATGGGAAAAGCAGGAAGAATCAGACCTGAACTGTAAATGTCGGACAAGCTCCTGTCCTAGGCAGGGGTGAGAGGAAGAACAAAGAACACGTTGATCTTGTGTGTGCAGAGAACCGATAAAAGATCTAACCGTAGAGCCGTGTTAGGTAGTTATACACCAACGAATAAAGTACTTTGTGACACTAAAGGCTGAGCGGGTTTTCCCGGGCATCCGCTTCAAGGTGCCACGAGATCCGACAAGATAACTTTACAACAGCTTCAAGCTTGAACGGGGGATAGTGGGATGATTCAAACCCATGTTTTGACCGTCCTTCCAATGCTGGAATCGGAGGATGAGTGTCAAGACGGAGTGTTCTTGAAAAACAAGAGCCTGTACACCTGTTCAGGTAAACACTGATGCTCACCAAAAAGGCTCTCCTGGCTATGCCTGTATATTTCACCCCTGTCGCCCGATGCTCTCCGAAACCATAAAATGTTGTGCACACTCGGGGAGCAGGGAGTGTTGAGTGTCGACTGAGAAGAGGAAACAGGTAGAGTCTGGAACAGAGCATCCTTAAAGCGGGCATAGATTGGCTGGCCGGTAAGGAAGCGGTCCACTGACCTTTCCCAGTTTCCTTAACAGGTCTAGTAGCAGAAATTCTACGAACCAGGTGAGCGTGGGAGACCTCACCGGAAATATTTCTGCTGAACCCCAACCCATGAAAGTCCTGGAGCCCTGTTCAGGATCTGTTATGCCTATTAAAAACTGGGATAAAGTTATTTTGCCTGGAGGGGGCCCCATAACCATCCTTTTCTCCCTGCAGGACGTAATGTGCAAACAGGCAGATCCTCTGCTGGCGGTGTCAAACGTTTGGCCTGCCAGATGTTTAGGCCTCTAGCTCCCAGAATCCTCAGCCTGCATGACCAATGAAAAAGAAGCATGGTAGTTGGAGTCTGGAACATTCAAAGTGCCGAAGGTTTTTCTCCCTCCTCGCCTTATGCTAAGAGGAGGGAAGCATCCTGTAAACCAGCTGTTCCTTTGGGATCAATGGAATCTCCCTCCCTCTCTCTCTGTATTACTTCCCATCCAGCTGTTGCACTCCTAGGGCTGGTCCTGCACCTCGTGACCAGGATGAGGGTGAGTCAGGATGCAGGAAGTACTAATGTGTTTTTAGCTCCGAATAAGCACGGAGTGCATTAATACAGGATTTCCCTCGGTGGGTTTTGAGAACAACGGCCAAGTCATGCTCTGGCAAATGCATAGAGACCCAAGCCAACAGTTTCGCGAAAGAGCTCCCCGTGAGATGCAGATGGCTAACCCAGGCAGACACAGCCAGGGCGGAGGGATGAGAATCCCCCACCAGTATCCAGGGATGGATTAAAAAGACACACACGCTCTTCATATATTCAGCCATCAGAGACCTTGATCGGCTCAAACCCTGGGCTTGAGTGTTTGACCCTTGCCTAAACTGCTCCCTGGCACATCACAAGAGCCCGCATCTTCGTCTCCCGAGTTTTCACCCAGCGTTGTAGAAAACAACAGAATGTCATTGACAAGAGAGAAGTGCAAAGATTACCCCTAGGGAAAAGCAAACCAAGACACAGTTACAAGACTGGGGGGGGGGGAATTTGGATCCCTAATACTATGAATAAGAAAGATCTTGAAATTATGTGGATCACAAGCTAATATGAGCCAACAGTGTGGGGCAGCTGCGAAAAAGGCAAATGCTATTTCAGGCTGCATTAACAGGAATACAAGAGGGACTGACTCCCTAAGGGAAGCTGTGGACATAAATTTACAAAAGTAATCTTGCTCATGAATAGGGTTGCCTACCCTTGCCGACACCACTCCTGGTACATCACAGGAGCCCGCCTCTTGGGTTCAGGTGTGGTTTTTTTCATCCTGAATCTTAGGTAACGGGATTCTCCTGCCCCAGTAACTCCCCACTCCGCCCACCTCCCTCCAGATGTGTTGGACTACAATTCCATCATCCCCCAGCCATCAGGTCTATTGCTGGCTCAGAAGGAAGGGAGTAATCCTGCAACCTTTCTTGGGGGGGGGTGTTGGGGAGGGGAAGGCCTGCCTTTGGTAGAAAGTCCTGGGTTGATCCGGAAGGTGGATTTGCCAGACTTTTGACCGCGACGACTAAGTGACCTTTTTAAAAGGTCCACCCCAGTTCATTTGACCGGAGCCATAGTGGAAGGAGATTCTACTGTGCAAAATTGGAAACGGGTGTGTGTGTGTGTGCGCAGCTTGTTAACAACATTATGGCTCCTGGCACAGCTGAAGATAGACTGCATAAAAAGGTGTTCCCCCCCCCCTTGCATTCAGCTTACAGGCCTGCCAGACAATTGGTTTTCCTTTATGAAACAAGCGCTGGTAAAAATCCTGACTCTGGTTGGGTTTATGGGGTGCCTCCTAATCTCTCAACAAAAGAGTCAAAAGCAGTGGTTTGCTTATCTTCATTTAAAGACCAGAGAGGATGCCAAAAATGGAGTGTTCGGAAACGAAGTTCTTTTGGCACGTAGGCTGCTGGCCCTCAAAATTAGCATAGGCAAATGTTATGCAAATATGCGGCCTCTTTCCCCCCCTCTGTAGCAGAAATGTTCTGGTTTTTTTTGTGAAGTCCCTAGGGCACGCCATGGTTCCTCTGAGCATGCCTTTTAGTCCTCCCACATGCATGAAGGACTGGCATGAATTCCATCAGGGTTTGACTGCAGGTGTCAGGGCGCCAGCTTGGTGGGAACGGATTTCTTGAGAGGTCAAAATGTGAGTGATTCACAGAGCATAATAGTTTCAAGTTCCCCCAGATTAACCCACCCCCGTTTTTTTAATCAACCAGCACTTATAGTCTCTCTCTCTCTCTCTCTCTCTCTGAGACATTAGTAGGAGAAAGAATAAAAAAGGTTTCATTACTTACAATTGAACAGATCAAACAGCACACTGGCAAACATGACCACTTTCAACAACCTCAACAAGGCTCTAGAGAGGGGGGAAAAGCTCTCAGCAGAAAGGCCGGGCTGTCTTTGAATTCCAAGACAGGGAAGAAATGATTGGTTGGTACTGGATAGTTTGACATCACCCCTGCCCAGAAAGGTCTACCTACTAAAGCAAGATCCTGACCTATGGACTGCCCAACTTCATGTTGGCCCAAATAGTTATTGAAATCATAGTTGTGTGACAGAAACTGAAATACAGATGGGCTGGAGCAGCTTAATTCTAATGAAGAAAGCAGTATGCCTCATAAACGTACAAGTGATGTAAGGATTGCAAAGGTTTCGGAGTTCTGGCTTCTTCT